ATCTGCAGTGATGTTGGCATGTTGTGGCAGACACCGCTGATCATCTACTCAGCACCCTCCAGTATTCCAGGCTACCAGAACTCCAATTTTGTTCAGGTGTGGGGTGCCCTGTGTCAGGGAGGGTGGGCCCCTCTGACACCCCTGAGACAAGTCATGGCAGCTCACCCTGCTTCCCTTTGTGACTGGTGGGGTGGGGAAGATATGACACCATCTTGGCCAATGGGATGGAATCTGAGGGGGTTGGAGGAGGGTTCTGGGGAGGGCTTTTGACCTGCCTTTGAACACAAATGTTCTGATGAAAATCTTGTGACCTTGGTTTAGTTTGCCATTAGAAAAAGAAACCTACGCACAAACATCTTTTGGCTAAGATGCATTTGAGGTCTTGATGCACAACTTAGTTCTGACCATCACAAGACAGGAACATTTAGTTATCTTTCAAATAAGAAATTACAGCAAATGCATCAAATAGCATTACCCTGAGGAGAAGCAATGCTATCCAGCATACTCTTCCTTCCCCATAACAGGGGCAGAGGGTGACGTATTCAGTGGTAGCTGGAAGTGCAGGCTCTGCTGCCAGACTGCTTGGGTTCCAATTCTTGCTTTGCCTTCTCTAAGCAGTTATCTTGATCAAATTATTGAACATTTCTGTAATTCAGTTTCCTTGTCTGTAAAATGGCTTAATATTTAAATATTTATTTACCTCAGTCGATGGTGGCCCAAACCCTTTGAATCAGGGACTTTCTCAGCTTCATGCTGGCACTGGGTTTCCAGTTATAGTAGCGTAAGGCTCTGTCATCTGAAGTCGGGCTTGTACAGCAGAAACCTGGTTCCCATCCCATGGAACACTCTGGGATACAGCCTGCCTTGTCATCGCTGCCTTTGGAGGGAGACAGCTCTAGTCTGCAAGAGGTTTGGCTAATTTTTGAGCAGAGTGGTTGTATTTTGGTATTACATGACACCATCCCCATTGACTGGTCAGGGATAAGGCACCTGGCCAAGGGCTGTCACGTCCAGCGTGGCAAGGGCAAATGGGACACGAGAGGGGCGGCGCAGATTGAATAAGTACAAGAGACAGAAGTAAGATTTAAGTGCGAGACCAAGGGACTCAGCCTTCAGAGATAGACTGAGCCACCGAATCGGGTCGACGCTTGGTTTTTATTGAGAAGTAAAACTGCTGTCGATCAGATTAACATCCTCAAAGCCTTATCTATTAACATATCCATTATGTTCCAGCATATGCTATGCCTTCACATATCCACCACATAGCCCCAGGACACCTTGTTACTGTGTCCTCCCAGAGGAGAT